ACCAGTAAGGAATGTTTCAGTTCCTTCCAGAAACTACTGTAAATTTATATTCTCTTTTCTTCTGCATCTACTCTTGAGTCTCCCTGTGCTATATATCCATGCATACACTACATACACTACCTTTAAAAAGTTGGAGTCAATAAGATACAGTATATTTAAAGGAATTAATACTTTAAATCAGCAAGGGGGAATTACATAGATCGAAAGTGACAATAAAGACTTTTACATTGTTACATGCTCTTCTTTGAACGTTCTATAGATAAAATAATCCTGAAAAATGTATCTTGGTTTCCATAAAAATATATTAAGCAGCACAACTGTTTTCAACAATGATAATAATACAAAATGTTTCTTGAACATCAAATCAGCATAAAATGATTTCTGAAGGATCATGTGACACTGAAGACTGGAGTAATGATGCTGAAAATTCAGCTTTGAAATCACAGAAACAATTATAGAATTACGTTTATAAAAAACATTCTAAAATTCATCAAATGGACTGTCAGTGGTTAAGTAGAACAGACTGTACTTTTTCAGTGCAAGGATGCAGTTGAAGATCAAATAATACATGCACATACTGTACATACATATACAAACGGATTTGCAAACACATTTTTTTTTTTTTTTGCAGACTAAGACTGCATCGTAATTCCCCAAGGGAAGATTAATTAGCAAATACTAAGTATACATGCCTGCATCATAAATGATGAGCGTTTCACTGACGGTGTGCATTAAGATAATGGATTGATCTTCATTAAATGACTGCCTTGAGCAGCGATGCTAAGCGTATAGATGAAATAGATGTAACAGAGCCGGCCAGTGCCTGTGCCTTTCAGGTAAGCCTCTTATTTACAACAATAATAATAATAATTACAACAATCTTATTACAACAATATTTCCTGAAATTGTGAAGATATTATGGTTGTTTGAGTCACTCTGAGGAAAATTGAAATCCACCTTGTGCTGAGCTGTAATGACAACCGTCATTTATTATTTAGCTGCACTAAGATTCATGTGGTTCTTTCATGCAGACATATTCTCATGGTAAACTAATCTTATTTTACAGTACGATGATCCATGACAAACAGCCATGTCGGGTATTCCCTGTCTTCTGCCTAGCTCCCACTGCCTCATGACCTCACATGATGCCATGCATTCATTAGAATGTAAATCTCGATTTTAGCCCTGCCTTTCTCATCTGAGGGTTTTCATTTGTTTCTTATCTTTTCTCCACTACCACAAAAGCCTCTCCTTTCCTTTTGACATCACCTGAAACAGTTGCTGTCCTCTAAAGATATTTACCTTTTTTATTTATTAATGTATAATCCATGCTAAATTCTTATCTTTAGTTTGAACATTTTGATGTTTTACAACTCAAATTAAGATACAAGTTGTAGATTTGCAAATCTAATGATAAGATGAAGTGCAGTCAACAGCTAATTCCAGAGACATTTTACTATGACATTTTCCAGCAGAAATCTTTATGTTTTGAACATATTTTAAGAGCATGATGTTATACCATCTTTAACTGTGTGTTCACGCAAGTCACATCAAATTCTATCTCTTATTATTTTTACTATCTCTTTCTAAAGAATGACCTCTTGTCATTTCAGTTGGAGGGGGGAAATTTGCTGTATCGCTAGTGACATCTAGTGGCAACAACAAACAGTGAAATGACCACACGCACGCGAGTACCTTAAAAACTGATTTTTGCTCTATTTACTTGATGAGCTGAAGCAACAACATTCTTAACCATTTTGCAAACACTATTTTCTTTATGTTCAATAATCTTTATTTTACAACTTCATCTATTTAAATTATTTTTGATGGCATTTAGCCTGCAAAGCTACTAACTGGCCTCCATTAACACATGCTTTCCATTGGACTGAATAGGGAGAGTAAAATGTTTCTGAGTAAACAGATAGACTTGTTAGTGCTGTTATTTTGGAGTGTTATGTGTTATGAATTTTTGTGGTTAGCGTTGTGCTGAACAGTGGTGCTTGAACTGCTACATAGAGCCTATGGCGTATATTGTTTGACTCAGTGAGCAGTAGCTGTGCTAATTAATTGGATATTGCATATGAAATTGAATTAAACCTAAAAGTTAAGTCTGATGAACTTGAAAAGTGGCTAAATGTTTACATGGCTTTAGTACATTATTTAAATTGACCCAATTTAACTAAATTAGGTTGACTCAAATAAGTTGATGTATTCTAAATGAAAAACATGAAATTATGCGTAAAATATATATTCTATATTCCAATTAAGTTGTTTAATGACTAATTGACAATGGCGCTTTAAAACATAGGCTGGGGCCCAAAAGTCTGATGCTGTATTACAAATGCAGTATTCAAATTTAATTTAAAACTCAAAATAAATAAATACATTTTAGGATTTTAAAAACCAAAAATGTTTTGACAAAATAAACAAGAAATAAACTGTGCACTTAGGTTTCTAGGTCACTAAAGCAAATTTGTTCATGTGTCTCTTTGTATGGACTTTTGCTGCGTCTCAATGTCCCTACTTATACTACGCCCTTAAAGTATGTATTCTTTTGGTGAAGAAAAAGTACACACTTTTGAGTGTGTAGTAGAAGAATAGGCAAGCTTTGGGACATACTATCAAGTCACACTAACTGCGTCTTTAACGGACGCTCTGTCGCATAGGTACAGGCACCCTGTCACTGTAAACTGGCCTGTCCATCATCTTGTCACAGTTAACATCCTCCACATTGCATTTCATTTAACTTACAGGACGGGGAGGAACACTCGGGGGGAGCGCTCTGGGTCCGGGCTTAGACCCGAGCTCGGACCTCTCTCCCCGGACGGGGGGAGTACCCCGGGCTCGAGAGTAATGACTGAGCTCGGAGCCCTCTCCCCGGACAGCACGCCAAATACGCATAACCTTTACTCTGTTCATTATATGTAAGTGTGAACTTCCTACCGTATTGGAGAGAAAAGAAGTAGCACATTGATCTGCCAGTCGCGGGTCTTTCGTGCCGAGAACTCTGCTCATATTTTATGCATAATGATGCATTTAAAAGTTAACGACCAAACGGATGTTTATAAAAGTTTACATTGCTGTTGCAGATGAAATATAAAAAAGATAACATTAAATAAATATTTTCTACCAGGTTAAATGTTGAATATTAGTAACACAAACCCCTTAAGCCTCTCTACCTAACCGCCGGTCGCGCACATCCGCCATGTTTGTAGTTTTTTTTAACGCGTTTTATTCGTGTTTGTAGTTCTGGACAGAATCCTTCACCAAAGCGCAATGGATTGTGGGCAATATTAGCCATTAGAGTGTGCACGGATCCACACTTCAAAAATCGACCTGAAATAGTAGACCATCCGGGGACTTTTGGCATACTCTTTTCAACATACTATGCTTTGGGACACACTTATTCTAATCTCACATACTATTTAGGATGGATAGTATGAACACTGAGACGCAGGGAGTGTGTGTTTGTGTACATGTATAGACAGATATAGTTAGGAATAAAATATGACAGTTTGCTTTTGTTTGTGTTTGGGTTGTTGCTTAAAACTTTTATCGAAACGTCTGCATAAAAAATTACTTGACAAAGAAAGTACCAAAACTAATTACAAGTGTTTAGAAACACCGTGGTTAAAAAAACACAAATATCAATAAAGACAATAACAGGCCCACTCGCAAACTCTTTTTGTGACACAAGACACATTTCTTTCAGTCATTGGAGTAAAAAATACACATGAACCAACACAAATTCAAATACAAACATCATGTTACTCTTTGTTGTTGCATGTTCAGTTTCATTGTGCAAATCTTCAATTTCTGATCATCATTGTCATTCAGGGTTTGTCATCAAGAGAGTTGATGTAATCCATCACATCAGGGAAAGAAGAAATATAATAATAATAATGAGACTTTAGAGCTCTGATACATTAGAAAATAAATCCTAACAAATGCATTTAATAATAAATAAAAACCTCTACATAAAGTATCATTGGTGAGATGTTTTAGTAGCACTTAATATAAGCAAATTAGGTTCATGTGGCAGATATTTGTTATTCTTCTTATATTTGGATTTAAGCAGCTTGGGGTACTTTTATGTTCCAAAAAAATCCTGCTACATAAAAAAAAAATTAAAAAATGGTGCATGCTTATGTTATGAGCAACCGAGAAAGTATCCTTTTATGTTGTCCAATATGCCATCCTAAATGTAGCTGAAAATCAGTGCAAGAACAATTTTAAGTGTAAGCTCAAAGTGAAGTGGTTTTCAGGAATATCCCATCTTGGGTGGTATTTTTCAACCTGGTATACAGTTGCAAAAAGTTCATTTTGTAAACCTGCTGCCTCTTCATCTCTCACTTGCATCTCTATGAGACCTCACACCTTGAAGCCTCTCTGTCCTGCTCAGTCCTGAGCTACAGTATTTTGGCACATTTTAAAATGTTAAAAATATTCAGAATGTATGAAAATCAAATACATGAATCACAAGTCATACATACATGCTTTAGATGGTATCAAAATGTGGACTAGAACTATGTAATGTTGCGTTGCAGGACGAAACTTGGTTTAATGGTATGTTGTTCACTACTGTACATGGTTCAGATGTATATTTCCATCAGTGAAGTGAGTTTAAAGTGCAATTTAGAGAGATTTAAGAGTTTGAGTTGGATATTTTAATGGATATTTTCTTTTTTTCTCTTTCTAACTATGCTGACTAATGCAAAACTCTTTTTAAAGGCACAGCTTGTAATTGTCTGTTTTTTTTGTATAACTGAGCAGCATTTGAATCCACTATATTTAATATTTTATAACAGCTAAACACTTTATAACATCTGCACAGTTATATTTCTCTCTTTCCGTTACATTTATATTACGTGCTCTTTTTCTATATCATCTATGGCTTTTTCCTTTCAAAAATGCTCTAATTTGACAATTAAATTATATAAATAATATCAGTTTATACGCATAAATAATCTCTTGTCAAATTAGGATTATGTTGGCTTTTGGTAGGTTCTGTTTATGTAACATATATGCTCTGATTTCACCGTTTTTTTTTTTTTGTCATTTATTGTGACATAAATGCTTTTAGTCCTCATGTCTGGGTCGGTGGACTCTGAGACTTGTGAGCCAATGACAGTATATGGGAACATATCACATAATGCGTGTTGGGAACGATGTACAGCCAGCAGGAAGGGGCACAGTGAACAGTGATGGTGTTGACCTTATACACACACATGCACACAGAGACGCGTACACGCACACTTTGAGCTGAGGTGTTGGTGTATTTGTAGACTGAGGTCATAATTTGGCGTGCGGGTTGGCTTTGATTGGCAGGTCTCTGGCCTCTCCCCCTCCCACATCTGTGCTCTCACAGCTGCTCTGAGGAGACTCGGGGGGCGGCTTGTAGAGCATGGCAGCCAGAAAAAAGAAAAGAGTGCCTAAAACCTGAGAAAAAAAACAGAAATATATATATAATATTACAAAATATTTCTATTTCAAATAAATACTGTTCTTTTGAATTTGAACATTCATCAGTGAATGCTGAAAAATATGTGTCACGATTTCCACAAAAATATTAAGCAGCACAGATGTTTTCAACATTGATAATAATAAGAACTGTTTTCTGAGCAACAAATCAAACCAGCAAATTAGAATGATTTCTGAAAGACAATGTGACTGAAGACTGGAGTAATGCCTGCTGAAAATTCACATATTTTATTATTATTTATTATTAATGAATATACAGTATATGTGTACATATATGTATATGTGTCTGATTTTTCAAATGTATAATTTTCAAAAATGAAAGCAAAAGCATTATCGAAAATGATTTATTAAAAATTAATATTCTTCTAGTTCACTCTTTGTAAAAATGGCAACAAATCAAATATTAAGGCAATGACATACATGTTATTTTTTCGCATTAACTTTCACTCAAATTGTTATGCTGATAATATAATTTGTAACAGAAACATTTGTATTCTCACAAATAGTTTCAGACTTTTGATTCCCACTTGATGTACACTTTAGCTTTTATGAAACTCTTAAAACCGACTTGTCAACATACCGCTGGAGGCCATTTAGAGCTGCAAAATAAATGGCCTCCTGTGGTAAATTGAGAAGTTAGTTTCAAGAGTTTCATACAAGCTAAAGTGCATTAAATGTGGAATGAGTCAGCATGGGTTTCTCAGGGAACATTTTTGCATAATCTTCAGATATTTTCAAGTGTGTTTTTCTTTACCTTGTAGATGATGCCTGCGATGAGCGAGTACTGGCTCATGGCTGAGTTGTGGTACAGGTAACAGGAGCCGTATTCCCCACACTGCTCCTCCCACAGCAGGCAGGAGATGTCAATCACAGAGCCAAAAGCTATAGGGCCTGGGATCCCACCGAGAGTCCTTACTACAATCCACTGGATTCCAAGTCCAAACGATCTCTGACTGTCAGGAACACACCTGCAGGAGGAGACAGACAATTACATTAGGCTATAAAGACAAACACCTGTATTATAAGGTAAGCCATAAGAGATCCTACTGTCTTCTGTATGTTTGGAATGGAATACTACAGTAGCTTACTACGTAAACAATAAACTTTTATTATTATTATTATTATTATTGAAAAGAGTAGGTATTATTCTACAATACAGTTATGATTTGAAACAGCAGTATGCTACATTGTTGTCATATAACCTCATCACGTTTATTTTTTATTTTAATCGACACTACCATTCAAAAGTTTGGGGTCGTGAAAAATACAGTAAAAACAGTGTTTTTAATTTTTTTAATGAATAGGAACTTCAAAAGAACAACACTTATTTGAAATATAAATCTTTTCTAACATTACAAATGTCTTTACTGCCAGTTTTGATCAGTTTAATGCATCCTTGCTAAATAAAAGCTAAATTTTCTGATCCCAAACATTTGAACCACAGTGTATATGCATTGGTCATACCTGAGTGTGGTAGTAAGTGCAGGGATGCTGCAGAGGAAAGTGAAGAAGATGATGACGAAGAGGAAGGTGAGGAAGGCTGGCATGTGATTGCAGGATGACACACACCTCCCTTCTTCAGCAAAACCTTGTTCTCCCCATGATATATTCCCCACCACACAGCTGCATCCAGAGAACACCTATGAATGCATAAACACACCAATATGGACAAATTCATAGCCAAGAATAAGATATACTGTAGATTCACATTTTTTTCTGAGACCTCTTATAAAAGTTAACTTTTTCTTTGCACCAAAACAATGCATAATCGAAAACATTTATGCAGCTTAGTTTTAAAACTTCTGTGTAATATCGTGTTCTGAAACTTACAATATGCCTTCATAGTACAAGCTCATAAATATAAATTCCGTGACACTGAGAAAGTGTAGAACAAGGGGTCTGTGTACCTGTCTGCCTCTGAGGCTATATGTGTGGTTGAGGGAGCTACAGCCAGCATGGCAGGGAGAGAAATACATCACTCCATCCGCACCACACACGGGGTTAAACAACTCCTTAACACAGTGACAGCCAATGTTACAGATTGCGGTCAGATTGCCCAGATCTGAGAAGCTGAGAGGGAGAGAAAGGAATTTTAGTTTTGAATTTCACTTCAACCAATCAATAACACACTGTCAGTCAATCTCTTTGTTCCTGCTCTGAGTATTAATTTAAACCATTAGCTTGTCAGCCTTTCACTTAATGCGTTTACTTGGGAGTCCCCCTGAGATTTTAAGATAAGTTCATTTCAATTAAGTAACACATTTGCATGTTCACGGTTCTCTGACGTTAGTTAATGGTCACATGATATGCAGCTAAACAAATTAAATATTTCATCCTTATAGTACGTGTTTTATTTTTATTGTTGTTATTTTATAATTATATATTTTAATTTGACATTTTTTTGAACCCCCAGCAGATCCTTTACTAACCCCAGTTTAGGAAAACTTGACATAATGTTTAATGTACTTCATGTTGTTAATTACAACAAATGGAATATGTTTTCTTTCTTTTTGTATTTTTATATCAATATGATACAAGATTATCCTATTTAAATCATTGTGATAAATGAGCTAGCTCAAAAGTAATCTAAAAGTAGTGTGATTACATTACCTAAAATATGTAATGTAATGGATCATGCTACAGACTACAATTTTTGTCATGTAATTTGGAATCAGTAACGGACTACTATTTGTAAGTAACCTACCCAGCACTGCTTATAACTCCTGAATACTGTACATTGATTGACTCTTGTTGTTTGTATAAATATGACCTATCTTCCTGAATAAAGTGGAGAATGAATTGGTAGTGCACCAATTCTCTGCTGATTCATTCTCCCAGGCCTGCACAGCAACAGAACACCACTGGGGTTGATGATAGGGATAAAAAACAGATAGCAAACTTCCAAAGATTTAGGGCCAGATTTACTAAACAGGGCAAATTATAATTCTGCAGGTGATTTACTAACAATGCGTACATTAAAGAACACAGACACAGCCAGATCATTTCCATAATGACCAGCACAATCTACCAAGAGCAGTGCAAATTACCGCCTGCTTTAAGACATGCTTTTTTGGGCATTAAATAATGGTGCAAATACCAGTAATTTGGTAATTTGACGAGTGCAAACGTTAGTAAATCGCATTGGGTGATTAATTTTAATACTCTCCTCCCATACATTTTGCATATGAAGGGAAACTGCTACAAATGCAAATTCAATAAGGTCAGGTGCAAAAACAACCTTGTGTCCAGGCCTTTTCAGTGCTAATTCTTCACTGCGCGTCTTTAGTAAATCCTGACAGTACTATTTTAACGCCAAAAGACAGTTTGTGCTGGTGCAAGCTGTTAGTAAATCTGGCCCTATATCTAACAGTAATGAATTCAAACGGTTTCATATTTCATACCTGTTGTTATGGATCTCTGTCTGCAGGTAGGGGGCGCTGTAGTGGTTGTGTGTAAAGTTATTGTAGTATGGGGCAGTTACTCCTGCCATGGGCACATTAGGACAGTGTACCAAAAAGATGGAGATAGCCGTCAGACTGACCACTGCGCACAGCATGCAGAAACGGATAATCCCACGGCAGCGAAGGTTCAGCTTCTTTACAATGAAGCCACCCAGGAAGGTGCCTCCTCCACCAGCTGGTACCACCATATAACCTGGAATGAGAAGATGGAGTTAAAAACAACTCAGTGTAGTTGTTTCTTGTACGCTAAGAGTAATTTGAGCAAGAGGGTGTGGCATTGAGTTTGACTGACGTGATTCTTACCAAACCAGGTTGCTGCCTCTGAAGCACTCAGACTAAACTGAGACTCTAGAAATTTGGGGCCAAACGTGGACATTCCAGCTATGAGCGTGGCCTCTGTGGCACCAGCGAGACACAGAAAGATGAAGGTAGGGTTCTTCAAAAGAAGCAGCATTGACCTACAGAGAAAAAGGATTATTCAGTCATTTCAACGATTTCTTGCAAACAACTAACAACTTTCTGAATTTTACAATGTAAGTCCTTGTAAAAAAAAAGAAATTCAATCATTAAATATACCTGCATAAATATATAATATTAATAATAGACCGCTTCTTAATACTCTTAAGTAAAAGTGTTAATTTTTACTCATTATATTGCATAGCGTCAGTTCTGGCAGGTCACGTTAGTCCAGCTCGTATCAGCTGACTCTCAGCTGATTCGTGTCTACCTATAGGGATGCGACACCTATCACAGCACTCATATATAAGGTTTTTCAGTATTATTACCAGCTTTCGCGTTGCTCAATAGCTAATTACCCATCTCCATCCCCGACTCCTCCTCTTGTCAGTCAGGATTCAGCCTTCTGATTCTCCTTTGAATCAGACTAATTTCTAAAATGCTACATTAAATGATTGAATCTTAATGATACCTGCAATACATTTATGTTGGTTCTGTTCTGTTTACCCTGGGGGGTTATTGCTGCTCTCCCTGGTTTTATCCATGCTAGACTGCATGAATGCGCAGGGAGTTCTTGACTATGACGCTGTGTCTATGTAAAACATGCATTTTAAATGATTCTATCTAGCATTTTAAGTTAAAACGTCACATGATGTTCAGTTGACATCTCTTGGCCAACTATTACAACATTTCAATTTCATAGATAATCGTGTCTGGATAAAATACAACTGACAGCATTGATTTGTGCTTTTTTTCTTTTATTTAGACCGAAAGACCAATTGGTGAAATGCTGCAATTGTCTTTTAGTTGCCTTTGAAAACTGGACAGAGGAGAGGAAAACAACTGAAGGTTTTAATGATATCTAGTGGAAACTTGCGGCCAAATGAAAACTAGCAAACTAAATGAAAAACGACAACCCAATAACTTGTACGTGGCAGTTTGTTGGATCTTTAAAAGTAGTGTCAGTAAAAAGTGCTAATTTCCTGGATCCTTAAAAATCGTCTAGGGACTCATCACCCATCGGAATTCACTGAACTTGCCAGACAAGAAAACTACAACCTCAGCTACTTCCCATCAACGAAGTGTCTAAATATAAACATGGTGGTACAGCACATGATAACAGACGGTGAAATGCGGTATATAGTCACACAAGTATGGCTTTTAATACATTTGAAAAACCAGCAGAGGAAACAAACCTTCCTCTCCCTGCTCGTATGTTCATACCTGGGCATGTCCTTTACTGTTTTGCCAAACTGAGGATCAGCTGCAGTGACCTGACTGCCATCCTTCAGCTGGTGGGCCTCTGAGACCCGCATGGCCACATACCGCTGAGAGCCTACAAGATACAGAAAGTGAGACTGTTATTCACACTAATACTATACTGTACTGCAGTCACTTGACTTCTTTTAAATCGCGTTTGTGGGTAGCACCTGGTAGCTGTCGTGGGTAACCCAGTATAGGCAGAGCGATAACCAGAGCTGCCGCTCCTCCTGCCAGGAAACCAATCCACCAAGCTCCCACCCACAGCGGATTTTCAGTAGTCAGCTCTGTCCTAAGAGAGATAGAGAGAGAAAATTTAGCTTTAGAATGTGCAGTTTAGTATTTAAAACAAATTGTCATGTTTTTGTTATTTCTATGGGGTTATGTCAGATTTTAATCTGTATTCTTCATCATGGAAGTCACAAGGTCTAAATCAATCTTAGTCTGTTGCATTTCTGCTATGTAGTCTCCTATTTATGTATTCATATTTTGTGGTATTTATATTTTGGATACATGCAGGACATTTTTAAGCTGTCAATGACAATGACAATGTTATTATATTTATATTAGTGCTGTCAATCGTAAAAACAATTAGTAAAAAAATAACTAATTAATCGTAAATTTTTTCTGAAATTAATCGCGATTAATCCCACCTAACATTAAAGTTTTTAAATATACAGTACTTTTATATTGCAATAATTTCACATTCAATCTTCAAACTAATGTAGAAACAACAAAAAGACAGTGCATTTTTAATATTTGTTTAATGACATATTTTTTTCTGACTAAAGGCGAGTATCACTGACACCAATACTACTGATGTCTCTAGGAAATTGTTCTTTTTTCCTAATATTTAACCATTGACTATATGTAAGGTTGACTATACTAACATTACAGTATAATTGAGAGCTATCAATTTTAACATTTATTAGACTTAAAAAAATAACTAATTTAAGTGACCTTAAAACAATCTTCACATAAACCCATTATATATTTACCTGTGCCCTTCAGCAAGTAGGAAACATATAGAAATGTAATAAAGTTATCAAACACTAAATTCTAAATTAAATATTCATTTCCTCTTTTTTATTTTGTTCTTTGATTAACAGACATCACAGCAGCTGGGTTATTATGCTATTTGGCTGCTATTACTTTAAGAGCTGCCGCTGCTGAACGTGACGCGGGTCTGACATGCATGCTCGTAGTTTCATTCACATTTTAAATTCACATCTAAATAAATGCAATTCTTGTCAAGAAAAAAAAGAGACAGAAGCAGCAGTTGTGAGTGGGGTGGCCAAGCCTAGCTCCGCCCCTGCGTTAACGGCATTAAATATTTTTAATGCCGTTAAACTGGAAAAATTAATCACCTGCGTTAACGCTAATTTTGACTAATTTATATATTTTTAATATTTACATAATTTATAATTTAATTTGTGTATTTTTTATTGGATATATATTATGCATGCTCATTTTCAATAATAGATTACCTTTGCTGTAGATAAATTAAAAAAATGTTTGTGTTAATTAATTAACACGCTTTTGGTATTGGCCAGAATGTTAATATCGGTGCATAATAAATATGTTTCAGGGTTTAAATAAGGATTAGATGCAATTCAACTACTTAACACTAGGAGTCTGACACTTGTCAAAGCCTTTTCAGGAATAATTCATCCAAAAATGCAAATTCTGTCACTGCTTATGTAATACTGTACATTATATCTGTGAATTATAGATAAATATGGCCTAAAAAAACTTTTTCATTTTGCGTGAGCTACTTCTTTTAATAAAGTGAGTATTAATTTGCTTAAATGTTTATTTTCTTACTCATTAGCCACTTACATTTGGTCGATTTCTGTGTAGATGTTGAGAAAGATTCCACCCAGCAAGTATCCAGCCGCAGGTCCTACAATGGCAGCTGTGTAGAAGATCCCTGAGAAAACAGAAGAAAGCATATCAAGTCTCTGTGGCTCCCTCCTCTGCTCCCTGAGTTATATGAAAGCTGGTCTGGATTCACACACTGATTCATGTTTTTGATCAAAAGTTTGTATTTCCAGTGCCTATGTCTGGAGAGGGGCAAACAGGGTAGCGATTGTCCTCAGTGGCCTTTGAAAACTGGACGTTGGGGAGAAAAACAATGGAAGGAGGTTTTATTGATGTCTGAGGTGGAAACTAGTGGCTCTCACTGATAACAACAAAAGAAAATGACTAGGTGTGTCAAAGCCTGAGTGGGACAAACTGGCAGGGTTCAGTGAGGGCAAATATCAATTCTTGAGTGTTTTCCATGTAATGCAAAAGACAAAAGGATTTTAGAATATAGATCTGAGTGCTTGAGTACTTTTGAAATCGGCTACACATTAACAAACAAACCCTCTGACAAAATCAAGTCCTATTAATACAGGGATGCACCGATATTAGGGCCCCAATTTAATTCCATTTCAGTGCTTCAATTGAATTTCAACAATAAGGGCCTAGGAAATCTGTTTTGTTTTTTCCCAAATTCTGATATAATTTTTCACGATTCTGGGTTTTTATCATCAAGAATTTAACTAATCAAATTAATTTTATAAGAAAAAAAAACACTTAATCAATCTTTAAGCTAGTGAATGTTAAATGATGGAAAAGGTATATAAATGTAAAAATAGGGAAAATGGCCAAGCAGAACAAAGTTTCTAATATCAGCCTAATACAGTACAAATTTTCATGTTTTCATGGCGTCATCACACTCACCTATATATACAGGTGCGTAGTTTGACTTGACATTCTCATCTAGGTAGGTGACCCCGAGGGTGTACAAAGGGGTTGCTCCGACCCCGTGCAGAAACTGGCCCAGCATAAAGACGTAACGGTAAGCTGAGAGCCCACCTTCCTCGCCGACACACGTCTCGGTGTGATTGGCTGAGCACAGTCCCATACGCTCCGGCACTCTCACCTGATAAGGTGGTGTGGTGAAATGGGGCAGGGCAAAGACCAGAGAGCCCAGTGCCATGATGAGCACACCCCAGCCCAGCCATCGAGGCTTATGACCATTACCACCAAAGTAGCTCACGAATGTCAGGCACACACAAGCAGCAATGTCATAGGAGCTCGCGATGAGTCCTGCCTGCAACGGCAACACAAACAACACATTGTGTTAATAATGCTGAGGTGTACATACATCCCAATTTGAATACTGTCCATCCTATAATGTGTGAGACTAGTATTACCCATAAACCGTTGTGATATGCAAGATGGTTGCTTCTCTGATTTAATATTCGATTTAAATTGATCAAAAGTGACAGTAAAGACATTTATAATGTTACAAAATATTAATATTTTAAATAAATGGTGTTCTTTTGAACTTTCTATTCATTAAAGAATCTTGCAAAAAAGCAGCACATTTTTCCAAAAAATATTCATATTAAACATTGATAATAATAAGAAATGTTTCTTGAGCATCAAATCAGCATATTATAATGATTTCTGAAGGATCATGTGACAATGAAGAATGAAGCAATGACTAATGAAAAAAAATCAGCTTTTGTCATCACAGGAATAAATTAAAATAGTTTAAAATAGATTAAAATGGAAAACAGATATTTTAAATTGTAATAATATTTACAATATTAATATTTTTACTGTATTTTTTATAAAACTATTATACTACAAAAATGTGTGTCAAATCAATATTTTCAAAGTTGACTGAACATCCTTAAAAATTGTGACTGACCTGGTGAACAGTAATATTTCATAGAAAATAATATGAGTAAAACTGTAAGTCTTTTGAACATATAATGGTTAATTTTAATGCATTTTAGATGGCGATGAAACAATACTATAATTCTGGCCGATACTAAAAATCAGATATTTATGTTATAGCCGAAAAGCAATTTTAGACAATTTTGTCTAAATTAGTTCAAAATAAAACACTGAAAACTAAAATTAATCATTTTATATGCTACAAGTGAATTTAGGCATAACAGCATAATAATGTACAATATAAAATTCAATATTTATGTTGTAATTTGCTTAAAGGAACAGTTCACCCCAAGAAAGTGAAATACTGTCATAATTTATTCATCATCCACTTGTTCCAAACCTGAGTTTGTTTCCTCTGCTGAGCACAAAAGAAGACATTTTTGAGCAATGTTGATAACAAAACAGTTGGTGGTAGCTGTTGTTCGGTTACCAGCATTCTTCAAAATATCTTCTTTTGTGTTCAGTAAAAGAAAGATCTTCATACAGGTTTGGGGCAACTCAAGGGTGAATGTATGATGTCAGAATTTAAATTTGTGGGTCAACTATCCCTTTAGGATTACATGTCAGAGTGCTGTACTAGTAGCTTTAAAAGGGTCATATGATGCGATTTCAATTTTCCTTTCTCTTTGGAGTGTTACAAGCTCTTGGTGCATAAATAAGATCTGTAAAGTTGCAAAGACTAAAGAGTCAACCACGCCTTCCTAAAACGGCTCATTCTAACACGCCCCCATATGTCTACGTCACGACGTGGGAAGAGTTGCAAAACGCCGCCCAAATGTTCACGCAAAGAAAGAAGGCGTTACTTTTATTCTCGCTGTAGTTTTATTGTTGCCACCGCCGCCATGTCGTGAAGACGCTGTGCGTTTCCTTGTGAAAGCGAAACTACTTTGTTTGGCCTTCCAAAAGAGGACGATATCGCTTCGTCATGCCTGGGCGTTTCAGAAAAGCGGGGGATAGAGGAGAAACAAAAATGTACATTATGTGGAAAATAATGTTTTTTGAACCTTAAACCGCATAAACACATTTCATTACACCAAATACACAAAATAATGTTATCTTTAGCAACATCATATGACCCCTTTAAAGATGAACTTTAAGTGAACATTAGATGCTGGCAAACGTAATCTAAACATAAAAATAGAGAAAATGAGCATGCACAATTAAATATGCAACATCCAATATCAATTAATACTAGCAACATTTTTTTTTAAATCTCTAATTTATATAAGCGGTATGGTACCGATACACCCCTCTAACTATACAAATGACAGCTTGTAATAGATTGACCTGGTAGCTGCGCAGGTCAAAACGTCTCTCAATGGAGGTGATGACGGTGTTGATGAAGCCATTGATGATCATGCCCTGGAGGAAGGAGGCCACACAGAGGAAGAAGAGAACCCAGTGTGGGGTGTTGAAGGTCTGCATACACCGTGGGGTCAGTGCTCCCCACCCACAAAGATTCTCAAAGTCTGTCGGAACAAACTTCACCCCAGTGGGCGGCTCTGTGAGGTCAAGCCCCTTTTTGCCTGTCTTGTGGAGCACAGTGCGGGCATCTCCAGATGGGCTGCCTGGACCAGAGCCCTGGCACTCCACTGGGCTGGGAGTGTCCAGGCTGGGTCCCAATGGACTGTCATGTAGGACCAAGAGCTCTTGCTTGGAGCTGAAGGAAGTGTCATTGTTCAGCAGGTGGGGCATGGCCCCAGCAGGGGGCACTGTGACAGACTTTGTGAAGAGTAAGAAAACAAAACTTTTCCACAGGAAACACTGATTCTGTGTGTAGTTTTGCAGAGTGATACAATGGCAGTCTTTGGAAAAAAGATCCCTTAATGGAGTTTCTTAAAGTTTAAACTGAATCATACAGATTTTTGAAAACAAAATTCTGCAAAGAAGAGTGAGAAAGAGACACTCAATTAATAAATTTGTCACCAACTTAAGTAAATTCACAGTAAATCATTTAACTCCAAAAACAAATCTATTCAAGCCCGTTTCCGCCACAAAAAAAGATAATTGCGACTTTTCATCTCAAAATTGGGACTTTTGTTGCTCACAATTCTGAGAAGATATCAGAATTTGTAAGATATAAACTAAGAATAAACTAGCAATTCTGACTTTTTTTTTCTCAGGGCTGATGCTGATTATTACAGATTAAGGCCGATAACCGATATTTTGAACCGATATATATGGCTGGTGTAAAAATGAAAATTAATGTCAAAATTAAGAATAACAAGGGCTCTGACAAAATCTTTCTGAATTTCTAAACGCTTTTAAATTATTTTATCGGCAAATCGGTTTTGAAAATGGCCGACACCAATAACCATAAAGATGCTTAGTATAAGCGCCGATAATCGGCCAGGCCAATTATCGGTCGAACCCTACTCACAATTCTGACTTTTTTTTCTTAGAATTGCAAGTTATATTCTTCTCAGAATTCTGAGTTTACATCTCACAATTCTAAAAAAAAGTATAAACTCAGAACTGCGAAGAAAAAAGTCAGAATTGTGAGATAAAAAGTCACAATTACCTTTTTATTTATTTATTTTATTCTGTGGCAGAAACAGAACTCCATACTCCATACCAGTACTTCCATACTCTCTTAGAAAAAATGTGCAAAAACTGTGCCTATAGAGGTACAACAGCTTGTCACTGGGCAGTCTCTTTAAAGAGACACTTTTGTCCCTTAAGGGAATGTTCTTTACCCCTAAAGTGTTCATTGTAATACCATGAGAGTATTACTACCTTACGGGTACATATTATTACTCTAAGGTACTAATATGCACCATTTATGACAGTGTACCAATTATAAGGCATAAAATCATTTCTCTTTATCCAGTGAAGTCAACCGTGACCTCCAAGCAGACCCCAAAAACTCTAATGAACAGGGATTAGTTCTGCATGCCATCTACGGTCCACAAAACACTCTTTAGGGATAGACACCTGGCATGTTAGACTCACACTGTGCTCTCTGTGGCAAAGCCTTTATGTCACATTCTCCAGAGTGCGGCTGACCTACGGTAGCCCACGGGACCGTTAGGAGATTTTGAGTATTCAAAAAAGTTTCAATTTATGTTGCTCACACACAGAATTTTCACACATGCAGGGGTTAAATAACGCTGCACACTACGCTGTTTTTGCTATGAATATCTGCACTAGGGCTGCACGATATATCGTTTCAGCATCGATATCGGGATGTGCGCATCTGCGATAGTCACATCGCAGGATGTGCGATGTTTAGTATACTAATCGTTATATTTTTACTGATTGTTTTATTTGCTCACACACAGACACGGTGTCTACATTGGACGGCGACAGCTGTACAGAAATACCCATTTTAAATACATTTAGTAGCAGAGCTACTGCACGCGATTTTCAGTGCTGGAAATCCATTTATCCTTTGTTGAAATTTCCGCGTCGTCGAGGAGAGCATAGGTCATGGTCGCTTAGCAACGGCAGACGCCACGAAAGCGCAAGCTCCAGAGCGTTTTGGAAAGAAGGAGAAAGCAGTGCGACTGGCGTTTTCCACGCGTTTTTAGGCGGGACATGTGAACAGCCCCAAAGTCTGTCTACACTGGACACGACAAAGCGACCGTTGCATATCATTTGAACTTTGTGTCAGTATGTCATAAAGAGAATGCGGCATCAGTTTACTGTTGGGGATTTGTCGTGTCGCGCCGCATTCAGTATAGTCAGTCACACAGCATCACTGGTTATAATGGGTTCTATTGTATTTTGTCGTGTTGCGCCGCGCCACGCCGCGCCGCTCGCGTCCAGTGTAGACGCCTGAGAGCCACACAGATGCATGTGAACACTGATTTCTGTTCACTTCTGCGTCTATTTGTGCCTGAAATACTGTGCTCTGCAAGTATCCTTGTAAACTGAAATATAACGCACTGCTTATTTCATTTGTATCTTTGTTCTGTTATTTGTCTATGCTTGTAATTTGTTTATTTCCTTTGCTGATTTACTCGCCTACAAAATCACCCCAATCATTGATTATTTTTTCCCCCAAATAGAGGTATATTGAAGTCATCTGATTTTTTTTTTCATATCGCAATATATATCGCAGGAAAAAAAATATCGCAATGTGAGTTTTTTCCAATATCGTGCAGTCCTAATCTGTCCTACCGTTACAGTGGGAGTTGAGATGAGAGGGTGTTTTTAATTCATTCCCCACTGTAGTTGATTGAATGCCTAAACGGTCCTAAAAAGGCATACAAACTTAAGGTGAACTATTTTAGGCAAGTTTTTACCTGTGTAAAACCATTAAGAGATTTTCAAACTTGTATGTCTTTAACTGTATAAGCTCAATTTAAGTTAATACGCTGCAGACACATACTATGAAAGTATATGAAATGTAATACTTTATTTCTATGCACTTACTTCGAACTATATTCCATTTTAGATATAGACCTACTTGTGTGTTGGTTATAGCATAGTGCCTCGATCTTGCGAACAACTCATTAACTAAACTAAAGTTCCTTGTACGTGCAAAGTAACCTGGCCAAACATCTCTGCTCACATTCAGATTTTGTTTTTGACACATAATTACCAGCAGCTTTGTGATTCATGCATTGGCATTGTAAAATAATTTACGACCATTATTTGAACAAAGTTCACTCTATAGAATTGCACCCATGCAAAACATGAGACAAATTAAAATGCTTTTCTATTATTGCACTTGGCAGACGCTTTAATCCAAAGCAAGTTCCAGTGCAATAAAGTTACACTGTACATTTTATGAGTACATGCATTCCCTAGAAATGAAACTTAGGACCTTAATGTTACAAAACATAAAAACATGATACATTACAGCCAAGAACTGCATTACAGTTGTCACACTGAAAGAATAGCAACTTTGCCTACCTTGGTTCCTCAGATACTTCATTGGTCTAAAAGGGTCTGAGAGTTTGATTGTGCAAGAAATCAGAGAGAAAACAAGCAGCATAAGAGACTAGAAGCAAGCAAGACAGCCCCAAAATGGGGAGTTACCCCAGCCTCTCACTCCTTCACATCTATCACTGAAGCAGCACAGTCCTGCCCACTGTATCTACCTGACATATGATGATCACCTCAGGAGTCTCTTCTTAACACATCACACTTAAAGGGTTAGTTCACCCAAAAATGAAAATTAGTCTGTGTTTTACTCACCCTCGAAGCATCCTAGGTGTATATTACTTTCTTCTTTCAGACGAATCCAGTCGGAGTTATATAAAAAATTGTCCTGGCTCTTCCAAGCTCTATCTTTGCAGTCAGCGGGTGTTGCAGTTGAACAGTCCACAAGTCGTCAAATAAAGCACGCGCATCCATAATAAAAAGTGCCTCACACAGCTCCAGGGGGTGAATAAAGGTCTCCTGTAGCGAATCCATGCGTTTTTGTAAGAAAAAATATCCATATTTCAAACGTAATAAACACTTTTCTCTCACTTCCGGTATCTGTCATACGCGGAAGACGTTCCGGCAGATGATGCAGGACGTATGCGCAGCGTGCGCGCCTCTGAGATATGCTAGTCTCACGAGTTTGTTTATAGGAGCAAAGGAAGTAAAATTTCCTTACTTTAGCAAAGGAAAACTAGTCTCCTCTTGGTTAATATCGAAATCCTCCGTCATTTTTCTTTACAAATCCTCGGTTTGTACTTCTAATTCGTGACCGGCGTTTTGTTTTGTTCTCTCACCGCATTCGTCACTAATCACGCAACGCTGACGTCCAACGTCATCCGCCGGAACGGCTTTCGCGTATGACAGATACCGGAAGTGAGAGAAAAGTGTTTATTACGTTTGAAATATGGATATTTTTCTTACAAAAACACATGGATTCGCTACAGGAGGCCATTATTCACCTCCCGGAGCCGTGTGAGGCACGTTTTATTATGGATGTGTGCGCTTTATTTGACGACTTGTGGACTGTTCAACTGCAAGTCTACAACACCCGCTGACTGCAATGATAGAGCTTGGAATAGCCAGGGCAATTTTTAATATAACTCTGACTGGATTCGTCTGAAAGAAGAAAGTAATATACACCTAGGATGCTTCGAGGGTGAGTAAAACACAGGCTAATTTTCATTTTTGGGTGAACTAACCCTTTAACACTTCATGAATGTATTTATCTAGCAACCCAAGGAGGAAGAAGTTCAGTTTATGCCGTCCCAGTTAACAGCTTTCTCCAGGTATTATATTATATTAATTTAATAGTTTCCCAATAACACTCTCCACATGCAGAGAAACAGAGCATTGCACATTGGTGGATATAATGAGATGCAAACAGAGTTTGTTAAATGCACAAGCTCTTTATATGTAATGAAAGTCCACTGAAGGCGAGCGTAGTGAAGAACTCAAGTGCAGTTTATTTACAGTGTGATCCAAACAATAATCCGAGACTTGACATGAACAGACTTGACGAGGCATGAACATACTTGACTTGACATGAACAGACTTGACTTGACGTGGCATGAACAGACTAGACTCACCGACAGCGGGATACAGCTTCATTCACGACAAGAACACATACACAAGGCAGCGATACATGAGGGCAAGGGAAGCATGACACTGACAGCATGAACCAATTACAAAATAAAAGACATGGAAAACATGAACATGAAACAAAACCCAAACACCAAACCCCACATTACATATCCCCTCCCTCTAAGGGCGGCTCCAGATGCCCAAACAAACACAAACAAAACCCAACAAATCCAGGAGGGTGGTGGAGTGGAGGCGGAACTGGGGGAGGGATGGAGGGCCAGGCCCATGAAGCGGAACAGGCAGAGCAGGGAGCCATGGCGGAGCAGGCAGAACAGGCAGCCATGGCGGTGCCAGACAGTGAGTTTGTGAACGGCCTCTGTGGCCTTGACAGGGCAGACAGTGAGTTTGGAAGCGGACGCCACCACCTCAGGAGGTTCTGCAGCGGATTCATGGACAGGAGAGGCCACAGGAGCAGATTCATGGACAGGAGAGGCCTCTTGAGTGCAGTGTACAGCCCACACGCTTAAATTGGCGACCGCCATTAAAGTAAGGGCAGCAGAGGGCGGCAGGACCTCTAGGACTGTTAAGCTTTAGAGCACTGATGTCAACGGGATGCCTGCAGCTCTCACCGACATCAGTAGTAAGTCCATCACGCTAGCTATCAGTCTTTTCAGTCTTGGCCCAAGCTCCATGTCCGACTCAGGCGTGGCGGCCATCTTGGCCGGGGACTCAGGCGTGGCGAAGACGTTAGCAGGCTTTGGTGTAGCAGACGTCACGTGAGCAGACTCTGGCTTGGCAGACGTGACGTGAACAGACTCTGGCTTGACAGACGTGACGTGAGCAGACTCTGGCTCTGGTTTAGTGCCG